AGGGAGGCTGGGGGCAATGCCGGCTGCTAGGATGGCTGTTTCCCCCCCCCCAAGCGAGGCTGGCGGCGAGGCCAGCTGCCTCCCCTCCCCTAAGCGAGGGCCAACGGCTTGCAGCTGGCCGGGCCTCGCGCCCTCCCTTCCTCTCACGGGTTGGCCGGCTGGCTTCGAGGCGGCGCCGACAGCGAGGCCGGCTGCAGAGCGTTCCCTGCGCATGCGCAGGGAATGCTCTGTCAGTTTTGGGGGGATTTAAGTATCCCCCCGTTTTTTTTTTAACTTCAGATTTTTGTGCACACCTGGGGACCACCCCACGTGTGCACAAAACTCCCCCCCCAGGTGCCCCCAGTGTCCGGATTTATTTATCCGCACACCAGGGGGCGACTTGGCTATTAGATATATAGATAATGGAAGCGAGACTATTATACTCAGAGAAACGGAAGAGTCCAACACTGCCTGCAATAGAGGAATGGCTGGAGAAGATGTTGGAACTTGCAACGGTGGGCAAGCTTTATTGATCGGAGAAAAGACAGTTAATTTATTGCTGATTGGAAACCCCTTATATGGAGACTTTTTGCATGAAAAAGATAATAGCAACTTGATGATCTGTGAGTTTGGAGACTAAGAAATTGAGACAATAGAAAAAAGAGAGCTTTTCACTGTAAGCACGGAGTAAGAGAAAATTCTGTAATCAGACTTATATTTGTCATAGAGAAAACTGGAAGCCTCCTTTAATTATATATATATCTTGGGTTTTTTTCTTTTTATTATTTGTTATCTGTTTTTTAATCTGATATTATCTGTTTGTTCTTTCTTTTAATAAAAACTTTAAAAACTCAAAAACACTGTCTTTGACTCTCAGAAGTTTATACCCTGAAACTCTGGTTGGTCTCTAAAATGCTACTGGACTGTTTTCCCCCCAAATCCTGAATGTTGTTGGAGTGTGTGACTCACTGTGCCAGGACACTGGGGGCGCTACTTCACTCGAAGTTTGTACAGGTGTTATCTCCTTGAATGGGATGCCTCTTTGTCTTAACCTGGGAGCTGCCCTCTGACCCCTCCTCTCTCACTCACTTTGTCCTCTCACTCTCTTCTCATGGCCTTCCATGGAGACAGATACCCTGCAGATCTTTCCTATAGATACAATGCCCTCATTCTCCCATACATACGGTGGCGGATTAGCTGGCCACTTATGATAGGGAAATACTCTTTAGATTAGCTTTCTTTCTCTTCTTTCGCCTGCAGCCTGAATATGAACTGGATCTACTTGAATGAATGTAAGTTTTCCTTCTTTTGCAATATGCTTCTCGGGAGATTTATGTACTGCACTCAGGATCAGGCTTCTACGACTGGGCAAAACTCTGCTATATTGACCAAATATCCCAATAAATGTCCCCTACCCACCTGGTCACGAAGTCCTCACCTGGTTGAAGTGCATGGTTACATACAACTCGTTGTCAAATTTCAGCGGCTGGCTCCAGATGACCCGCCGGTACCAGAACATGTAGTTGCTATCCACTTGTTCCATTTCCATGACCACATCGAGGATGTATTCCTTCTTGTTCAAAGGCCGGACGTTCTGGTCTGCGGAGGTGACCGGTCACAAACTTATTTGGATTCATTCATTTACTTCATGTACACCCCAAGGGGAGAATGGGATATCAACTTTTCAATAAACAAAATAGCAGAAATGAGTTTTATCGCCCCATGCTCGGACCCAGCACAAGATTCTCTCTTCCGCCACCGGCTGGACTCACTTTGACTGGTAACCGCAAAGATGATATATTCGTTGAAGGCTTCGGGCCGATTGAGTCCCATTTCGTAGCAGATCTCCTCTATCACGTCCAGGGCAACCTAGAAAGGCAGGGAGGGGAGAGCAAAATTACGGCACGGTTTTTGAAAGGCTAGCCAACCCAGTTTTAAAATGCAGCAATGCAAACTTTTCAGCTACTTAGAACTGTTCCACAGGCTGTGTGCTGGAAAAGTAACCTCACTGGGCCAGGTCTCCTTTTTTTTAATTTTAATTTTTATTCATTTTTTTTTAACCACACCATTACAACAATATTTGACACAAAGAACAGTTACCAGCTCGCTTAAACAGTTTCCCCCTGGTAGCTCAAAGGAATAAAATAACCTTTACAAATGCACCTAATACAACCAATTAAAGCATGCATCAAACACAGAGCAGTTAAAAGAACAGCAACTTTTTGTATAACGGGTTTTTTGGGATTGTCTCACTATTTTCTAGATAACTAATGATATGACGGAGCTGCGGTGGCTCAAGTGGTTAAGACGCTGAACTGCAGGCTGTGGAAGGTCAGTAGTTCAGCAGTTCGAGACCCGGGTGCCGCATGATGGAGTGAGCTCCCATCTCTACTTCCAGCTCCTGCCAACCTAGCAGTTCGAAAGCAAGAGATTGCAAGTAGATAAATGGGTGCCGTTTCGGTGGGAAGGTAACAGCGTTCTGTGCGCCTAACTGTTTAGTCATGCCAGCCACATGACCACAAAACCCAAACAAGGACCCACGGTAAGTAGGAAAACCAACATACAACAGATACCGTGCACAGATGAATTATAACCTATCATAAATAATTTAATATATTTTGAAAAATATTATTACAATAATTTCTTCATACATATGTCTTCATTCTTCATTCATAGTCACAATTCATAATATAAGAGATCAAAATGTCAAATATCATCTCCATAGATTCTCAAAAGATATAGTACAATCTTATAATATATACTAGTCCTCCTCTGTAAAAACGTTTCAAAAGGGAGGACTCCTTAAATTCTCTTTACATGTGGTCTGTCTTCCTCCAACAGAGGTCCAGATGACCTTCTGTTTCAGAATCTTCCTCAGGGAGTCCAACAATAATTTTCAGCACAAGGTTGCTAAATACCAAAGTTTTCATCCAAAATTCTCTTTCAATGAACGCTGCAAACAGTTTTTTGATGAGCTATAAACCTCCTCCAAATTTGGAGAACGTGCTTATAAGGTTGTACTATATCCTTTGAGAATCTATGGAGATGATATTTGACATTTTGCTCTATGATGATTAATATGTATGAAGAAATTATTGTAATAATATTTTTCAAAATATATTAAATTATTTATGATAGGTTATAATTCATCTGTGCATGGTATCTGTTGTATGTTGGCCACATGACCACAGAAACGTCTTCGGACAGCGCTGGCTCTTTGGCTTTGAAATGGAGATGAGCACCGCAACCCTAGAGTCGGATTCGACTGGCTTTCGGGCAAGGGAACCTTTACCTTTACTTTAATGATAAGAAACCATACCGCCTGAAACCACTTTTGGTACTTTTCTGACTGCACAGCTGAAGAATTATATGAGGTGCGCCCATGAATAAAGTATTCCCAGATCTTCTTTTGCCAGCATGTTAATGTGGGAACATATTTTTGTGCTATCATTATTTTTGCCAACATCAGTAAAGTCGACACTAATGTTTCTGAGCTTTTTCTACTTACAGACGTACGCCATGTGTCCAGAAAGATGGAATCTAGAGTGCAAGGTAAGTTTATTTCTGTTATTAGTGCAATTTGTTGAATTATCAGCATCCAGTAGTTTTTATTTGTGGCCAGGTCTCCTTAGCTCTAACCTGCAACCCTAAAGGTTGCTTCAATGTATCAGGACCAAAACATGTTGCCCAATGGGTAATACAAAAGCATTATCTTAAAAGGAGATGGCATGAGACGCTCAGTACTTTGTCCCTGAGGAAGGACCAGAAGTCTGAAACACTGGAAAAATTAACTAGGAAAAGTGTTTGACTTTTTGGATATTTATCGTGTATATTTATTCTTTGGTTTCTGCATTTTCCTATGATGGATTATAGGGATAGATTTGCCTCATTGTGTTGCCATCTTCTGCCAGTGGGTGAAGACTTTTTGTTTCTTACTGACTGATGTTTGTGATCGTCGTTCTTAAGTCTCTGTATTTGAGCTCTGGTTTTAACCATCCGTGTTTTAGGGGGGCAGGATTTAATGGTTTTAAAATGTGATTTTATTACATATGTCTTAATTTGTTAGCCATCTCGGTGGCCCTTGCCAAAGCAGAAAGCCGGGATATAGATTTTGCAAAATAAATAAAAGTAAATCAAAACAAGGGAGTTTTTTTGACAGAAGATGTGACATCAAGTCCCATTTTAAGATGATGATGGGGGACATTCTTGCAGGTTTATTCACGGTTTATTCACTCGGTTTTAACAGATAAGCTAGATAAGTTTTGCAATCCAATGCATTCCCTGCTGTCCTCCTGTCTTTTTTCAGACCAGATTCTTGGTGATTGTTTTAAAACTTAAAATAAGTTGAATTATACTCTTCCAAGAACAAACTAAGTTCTCTCTGTCTAAGTCCATTGACTACATGTAGTTCAGCTTGCTCATGGCCATGAGTGACTGTATGGCAGCATCCCACCAAAACGTTTTCAGGTAAGCTCAAGGGCTTCTACTCACCGAACATGTTTTGATCTTCAGGTGCTTCTCAATCCCCCCTGGCAAGAGGACCAGCTGGCGCTTCGAGCTCCTTCCAGCCTTTGCAGGGAAGGGAAATGGAAAGTAAAATTTAGGGACTGTAACTCACAGTGAAGGAGACTCAGTCCTTGGGGGGGGGGGGGAATTCAAAGCATGTGCAGAAAAAAGGGACCAGAAGTCAGAAAAAGAACAGCTGGGTCTGAAGCTGGTTGCAACTTCTGAATCTGCAGTAGCAAGCACCAGATGGGAAGATGACTGAGCCCCAAGAATCTGGGCCATGAAGCACCTCAAACACTGGCTGTGCGGCACCCCACTCCCTAGGCGACTGGCTGGCAATGGACAATCCCAACAGCATGTCTAGTCCAAAAATTTGGTTTCCACGCACTCACCACCATGGCTTTCAGCTCCATGTTACCAGGGAATTCACACCTGCCCCCAAACTGGAAGGTCTTCCGCAGGTTCTGTTCACAGGTCTTGGCGATGCCTGACGGACATCAGACAAATCAGAGGGAGAGAAAGGTCACGTGAGCCTTTCCACCACCATTTGTTCACTCAGTTTTAACAGATAAGCTAGACAAGGTTGGCGATCCAATGCATTCTCTGCCATCCTCCTGTCTTTTCCCCCAGACCAGATTCATGGCGATTTATAAACAACAACTTGAAATATAATTGTTGATATACTGGTAGTTCTTCGTTCTGACAGAAGGCCCTTTTGGTCCAACACTCTGGTGCCCTTTTGTTCAAATCCTCTGAAGTCTCACCTTGAAAATACAAAGCAGGATTGTTGCAGACGTCCTGAAGGAACCACAGAAGGTAAGGTTTGAGGACCTCAGAGCATCTGTAATAAGCACTCAGGATGTAGAGCAACCTCCACCCTTTCTGGCAGCTATCCCTACACAAAACACACAAAGTTCCGTGGAGAACAGGCTGCATATCACGTGTCCATCAGCAATCTGTAGGCTCCCCCTCCAAATCACGTTTACACCAAGCACAGAGGGAATCCTCTTGAGGGGCCAGGCCACAGAGCCTCAAAGGAGGACTCCAACAGATCTAGTACAGATTCCCGCACCGTGGAACAAATAGGGCCATGGGTCAGAGGAGGAAACTCTTGGTCCTGGAGATCAGGTGACGCCAGAGAACCAATCCAGTGCCACTACCGTACAGGTCCTATATCTGCTGTACCCCTTTGGTCATCAGTGAGGAAGGGTGCCCCTCTGTGCTCTGTCCGACTGCACCCTTTCCCGGGCTCCTTCAGCAGCTAGGCCGGAGAACCCAGCTTAAGAACATAAGAGAAGCCATGTTGGATCAGGCCAATGGCCCATCCAGTCCAACACTCTGTCACATGGTGGCCAAAAATACCAGGGGCCATCAGGAGGTTCTCCAGTGGGGCCCTTTCCCGCATCTTTTGTCTTCCGCTAAAATGAGAGACTCACGTACGTCTTGGTGCTGGAGTTGTCCGTGATCTGCTTCATGATCTGGCAATAAACCTCGTCTCGGATCACCTCGTATTCTCCGCAAAGCTGGAAGAGAGAAGGGGGCAAGAGTGCAGTGGAACAGGCCCCAGAGGCTGACGGGGTAAATGCTCCCCCAGCCGCTTCATTACCACCTGAAGAAGCAGTCATGCTGTCTCCAGACAAAGGCCTGAGACAGCTTGGCAACAGAGAAGAAGAGAAGAAGAAGGGATTGGATTTATACCCCACCTTTCATTCGGAGTCTCAGAGCAGCTTACAAACTCCTTTCCCTTCCCCTCCCCACAACAGACACCCTGGGAGGTAGGCGGGGCTGAGAGAGCTCTTTCCAAAATTGTCCTTGAGAGAACAGCTCTGACAGAACTATGGCTTGCCCAAGGTCATCCAGCAGGTGCAAGTGGAGGAGTGGGGAATCAAACCTGGTTCTCCCAGATTGGAGTCCGCGCACTTATACCACTACACCAAACTGGCTGTCCGTGATAGCTACCTCCAGCCCAAAGACTGACAAAACTGGAAGGGTATTTTCACCAAATCAGAAAAGCTAGATTCGAAGTCCAGTAGCAGCTTGGTATCTGACTCTCGAAAGCTTATACCTGGGAAATATTGTTGATCGTGAAGTTACCACTGGACTTCTACTGCAAACTGACCCTGCTACCTACCTGAAACTATCTTCATCAAATAGGGTCACCAGGCCCCCTCGTCGATCCGGCAGGGGGATTTGGAGGGTATCCTGGGGGTGAGTGGGGACATCACATGACATTGCACGATGTGATGACGTCACCCGGAAGTGACGTCATCGTGTCACCGACACTCGGGGTTTTGGGCGAAACTCTATGGTAAATTTGCCTTCAAACCATAGAGTTTTGCCCAAAAACCAGAGTGTCCCGACATGATGATGTGGCTTCTGGGTTTCTTCATCATGTCGGGGACGTCATGTCAGGGGATTCCCAGTTTAGGATCGGCGTTTCCCCCGCCAGCCAGATGGTCCATAGTGGGGAGAAGCCCCTGAAACTAGGGGATCCCCCGGTTGGACCTGGGGGCGGGAAACCCCAGGGCTTTTTTGTAGAAAAAGTCCAGCAGGAACTCATTAGCATAATAGGCCACACCCAGAAGCAGAAACTCATTAGCATATTAGGCCACACCCTGACTGCACCACTCATTAGCATATTAAGCCGCGTTCCCATGTTACCAGAAGTGTGCTCATCCAGCCACACCCACCTTTTGCTTCATATTCTGTTTACCTTGTTTGTGGTCAAAACCCAGGGCTTTTTTGTAGCAGGAACCCCTTTGCATGTTAGGCCACACACCCCTAATGTAGCCAATTCTAATGAGTTTCTGCTGTTGGGTGTGGCCTATTATGCTAATGAGTTCCTGCTGGGCGTGGCCAACTTGGGAGCCAGCCGGAACTCCGTTCCTGTGCGTTCCTGCCCAAAAATAGCCCCGGGAAACCCTATCATCAGAATGTCCAGCAGTCCTCATAGGAGACCAGGGCCATCTAGCTTGCTTTAAGCTAGTTTATGTTTGTTAGTCGTTTATGTCTGTAGATTCAGCTCTGGATGGAGAGTTCAGTTTGCTGTGGTTTCCACGTGGCCCAGTGCAAAGTTGGCTCCACAGGGCTCATTCCACACCCATGCAGAAAACTGGGCTTACCTTCAGAAGACAGCAGACCACCTCGAGCTCTGTTTGGCCCTTGAGCGGAAGGTCACCCATGAACTTCATCACAGCTGGGGGGGGGAATACCCAAATCAGTTGGAATTTTCCTCTGGGCACACACAGAGGGTCAAATTAGCCGTTACCGAACAACAATTGTGCGAGAGGCAGTAGGAAGGATTTCCCCAACGGGCCAGATCAGACAAAACTGTTCGTGGGCAGGGAAGCTGAAATCTCCTTCTCCAAGAACACTGCAGTCAGAATCCCACATGCATAGAAATGGAGAAAACCCCACAATTCCCATATGACTGTTATTCCAGCTGGGACCTGTGTGTCCCATAATGTTTATATTGGCCATCTACACTTTTAAGTGAGGCTCTTCTCTGCTCTTAATGTGCCTCTTCACTATTGGACAGCACTCAGAAGGTCCCTGGTTCAGTCCCTGGCATGTCCCATTTTTTAAAAAGGATGTTTTTTAGGAAGGAACTGTTATTTATCTTCCCAAAACCCAACCAGAACGGGCAATTCAGAGCCGGCCTGAGGGAGTATAAGGCAGCCTCTTATGGCCTGCAGAACTTTTTATTTCTAAAAAGCAATGCACACAATTGTGTGGGAAAGGGTTGGCTCACTGGTACTTTGCCTGCAATGCTGTGTTCAAATTCTCAGCCTCTCCGGTTAAAGGATTGCAGAAGACAGTGGTTGGGAGTGATTTCTTTCCACCTAAGGTCTGAATGCCTAAGGTAGGCTGTTAGATCATGTTTACAGAATCGCTCTGAGAACGGGAGGGGTTGTGATGTGTTTTGGTGACGGCACTGGCACTCGCCAGTTGGTGCCTGCCGCACCTGGCTTCCCCCCCCCCCAGATCAAACCGAATGACACGTCAAGCTTTATAGAGCTCACCCCTGAGCAGACAAGATGCTTTAGGATCTACCAAAGTTCTAAAAATTTTAGATCAACTTTCATGGTTACAGAGTACAAAATTTCCCATTGGCCAGGCCTTGTGCAGGACAACTCCTGGGAAAAGGCAGATCCAGGCAACTCACCTTGGAAGGTCTCCGCCGCAACTTTGTTCAGGCTGCTGTCTGTGAACTCAATGAGCGACTCTTGGATGGGGGACTGAAACGGAGCAGGGAGGAGAGAAGGGAAACGGGGGCTTGGCGAGAGAGTCATAGGCACAGCACTCGCATCACAGCACTATCAAACGGCAACAGGGTAAGCGCGTACAAAATTCTCCTTGATGGACATGCATATTTGGATTTGAAGACCAAGGAGGAGGAGGAAGAACAGGGCACGGTCTGCCGGCAGCATTCCCCCGCACGAGCCCCGCTTGAAATAAACAAGGTTTGTGCTTCTCTTGTTAAGAATCGTTAGGCAGAAAACCAAGAGCAGAGATACCCTTGCATCCTAAGAGGCAGTCTCCAACCAATTCCGCAAAAGCAGTTGTTCCACCCTCGGTCTCACCCCCCACCCCACCCCGGTTGTACTGCTCAATTTCCCACTATTTGCCACGCGGCTGAGTTTTGACCCACATTATGCTAAAAGAGGTAGAACTTCTGGGTGCCAGAGAATCTTAGGATCTCCTGGCTATTCTACACACAATGGAATGTGGCTCAAAAATGATGGTCACAGTCACAGAACAGACCGAAAAAAGAAGAAACTGTGAGGTAACTGCGCTAGAGAATATTTAAATAACGATCACAAAATTTATACAAAAATGTGTACAAAAAATCTACATATATAAATGCACAAAGGCAGTTGAAATTGGTGTAATTGACGACTTCCGGTTTGCGGATCAGCGATGGCGGTCGCTTTCCCCGGACGTCGGGGAAGCGACTCGCACACCAGTGGTATGGGGGGGGTGCTACCTCAAGTAGAACTCACACAGAGCCTTTGCGAAAGGCTCCAGGCCATAGGGCTTTTGAGGGACAGCCTCTTGGACGGCTAAATGCCGGAGAATTGAGGCTTTCCTCCACCCTGATGGTCCTGCCGCTGTGTGGCCTTCGGGCACAAGCTGTTTCGACCAGGACAAGCACTGGAGATTGAGCGGAATATCGTTTACTTTGAGCGAGGTCAGAGAAATGACCGACAGAATTGATGAGGTATTAAACTTAATGACCGACAGAATTGATGAGGTATTAAACATAATTAAAATAGTGATTAGAGAAGCTTCATCGTCAATTACACCATTTTCAACTGCCTTTGTGCATTTATATATGTAGATTTTTTGTACACATTTTTGTATAAATTTTGTGATCGTTATTTAAATATTCTCTAGCGCAGTTACCTCACAGTTTCTTCTTTTTTCAGTCTATTCTACACACAATGCCATACGATAATTATCATTCCCAAAATGGCTTACAATATTTTTGTCTCCTCACAACAAACAACCCTGTGAGGCAGGTTAGGTTGAGAGACGGAGAGAGAAAGAGAGACTAGCCCAAAGTCACCCAATAAGTGGGGTTTGGAACCTGGGTTTCCTAGAGCCTAGTCTGATGCTGTAACCACTACACCACACTGCTTGGTCTCAGACAAAGAAGCCAGACTTGACAGAGCATCTTTACCGAACCAGCTAAGACCCTACTAGCATTTACTCATTTATTTACTTACTTTATTTATTTCTCCCCAAGAGAGGACCCAAAATGACTTATGTCATTCCCCTCTTCAGCATTTTGCCCTCACAACAACCCTGTGAGGCACGCTAGGCCGAGAGTGTGTGACCGGCCCAAGGACACCCAGCGAGCTTCCATGGCAGAGTGGGAATTCAAACTTAGGTTTCCCATAATAATAATTAATAGTATATCATTGTGTGTAGTATAGCCAGGAGATCCTAAGATTGTATGGCATCCTGAAGTTCTAACTCTTTTAGCATCATGCACCACTAGGTGGTGAGCTAAATTTGTTTTTGGGGGGCTGAGAGAGCTCTGAACAAGTTGTGACTGGCCCAAGGTCACCCAGCTGGCTTCATGTGGAGGAGTGCGGAATCGAACCCGGCTCTCCAGATTAGTCGGTTGCTCTTAACCACTACACCACGCTAGCTCTCATTGGGTCTCCCATATCCTAGTCCTGTCCTCTAATCACCACACCACACTGTCTTGTGTTTACCTGATCTTTGCTAGATTGTTCTGGAAGCTGCAGTGCCACCTTCTGGCCACCTCTACTGGTGGCGCTACAGTGCAAAAAATCAGGCCAGCAGTTTCCTCTGTTCACAATCTGCCATGGCGGCACAGAGAATAAGACAACCGGGTCCTAATGCCCTAGCCCTTTGTTTGAAACCCTAAGGACTTTACAGGGGGCTCTTCCCAACCTCCCTACCCCGAAATATACACAGAAGTAAATTGCTACTGATAAAGAAACCAACCGACATTACCTTGGTGAATTTCAGGATATCTTCCACACTCTTCGATTCAATGCCTTTCTTGGATTTTAGCTTGCTGGGGTCCCTGTAATGAATATCACACATAAACTCCACCTTTGTTTCCCGGAAGATACCCTCTGCCCACAGTCCTTCCTACTTTCCTTTGATTCTTGGCCTGCTCCCAGTCTCGGTCATGCAAAAAGCTCCACCCCCTCTCCACCCCACCCGAAAACACCCTTATTGTATGGTCCAGTTGAGGAATAGCGTTTCCTCAACAAAGACTGTCCAGATTGGGTCAACTTTTCCCCGTACACATTTGTGTCGTTCTACACAGCATTAATGTGCTTTTGTGGCTCTGAGGGAGAAGATAACAAACTCAAACATAGAAATAAATAATTAAAGCTGAAGTGCAGGGAAGGGAGTTCAGCCAGGACAACTGTATTGTTTGATTCTTACAATTTTGGCAATCCAGCCACTTGTAAGGGGAGATAGCGGTCACCATTTTGTGTGAATGGGACCAACGCATGTATCGTCCAGCAAATTGGACAATACATCCAATCGGAAACACAGATTTTCTGACAGCTCGTATTTGGACCTCCTGAAGCTGAAAAATATGTGTGTTGTCCTGTTCACACAAAACGTATCACCGTATTTATCAAGTGGATTGGGGGTAGCGTGCTGTGCCATTACATGAGGCGGAGGTGCCAAAACTGTACAGGATTTACGTACGGGAGAGGGGAACAACACCTACCCCTTTCACACACACTGCAGATTGTTAGGACAACAAAATCAAGGATATGTTGTCGAAGGCTTTCACGGCCAGAGTTCATTAGTTGTTGTAGATTTTCCGGGCTGTATGGCCGTGGTCTTGGCACTGTAGTCCCTGACGTTTCACCAGCAGCTGTGACTGGCATCCTCAGAGGTACAACACAGAAAGATGGAGTGCTCTCGGTGTCAGTGTGAGAAGATAAGATAAGAATTTCAACAGCCTATCCATATGCAAAAGAATCTCCTCGGGAAACAGCCATTCCATATACAAAAGAACCTCCTCAGGAAAGCGCCTCCATTAGCATGTCACACCTGGGGAACCCCTACCAGATAATGACTCAGCCCTACCCCACCTTCCTGAGTAGATATAAATTATCTGCCTACCATTTTTTCTTCTCATCTTGACACAGAGAGTTCTCCGTCTTTCTGTGTTATACCTCTGAGGATGCCAGTTCACAGCTGCTGGCGAAACATCATGTCCTACAATGCCAAGACCACGGCCAGACAACCCGGAAAATCTACAGCAACTAATAAAATCAAGGATGATGGGAAAGAGAGCGGTGTGAATGCAAAAGGTAGAAAATAAGGGGAAACACAGTTGCCCCAGCATAGGACCACAGAATCTGCAGCGGGCAAAGAGGAATTGTGTTGTCCCTCAAGGGGTTTTGCAGATTAACCAGAAACCTCTCGGATTCTGACTCCTGGCAGTTAGGTCTATAAGCCTGGCTTTCTCCTTCCCCCACCTCCCCCCAGATGAGGTTGCGGGCCTATTTTCACGAGCGGATAACCCCTGACCTATCGAGCCCCAATCTCCAGTACATTTACGTCTTCAAAAGCTGACCGATGCCATGTATTAGGGTTTTTTGCAACACGCTGCAATGGCTCGTTGTAAGGGACCGAGGCTCTTCCACTTACCTCTCTTCCATCCCGGGGTATGCGATCGCACACGTAAACAATGGCAGGGGTTGTTCTAACTAACTGGTATGCAGAGGAGGAGGGCGGGCGTGGTGGCAGCAGCCCGGAATTTCCTTGTTCTCTTACAGAGGGGACTGCGGTCTCAGGAAAGGAACTCTGACACAACACACTTGAGACGACGGCCTCCGATTTCTCGACTGCAACCAAGCCCTAAAGGATTCCAGGCCCCATGTCCGTCCGCACGCACTCACATCTTTGCCCTCTGACCTTCTCGAAAATACTTCTTGGCGAACTCCAGCATGGTGTAGGAGCCGCCTTGCGGGCTGCCGGTAGGGGCTCCCTCAAAGTCTTCGGTGTATTCGCTGCCAGGAGAGACCTAGGGGAAAAGAAAGGCATGTGGTCTCCCTGGGCATGGATAACTGAATTAATTATCATACGGCATTGTGTGTAGAATAGCCAAGAGATCCTGAGATTGCCTGTCAGCCATAAGTTCTAGCTCCCAGAGTTATGCTAGTGGAAAGCTAGACTTGTTTTTAGGGGCTGAGAGAGCTCTGAAAGAACTGTGACTGGCCCAAGGTCACCCAGCTGGCTTCATGTGGAGGAGCGGGCAGGTATAGAAAGCCTGCCAGATAATGTTGGGACATGTCATTCAAATGTCATTTCAAGCCGGTCCTACAGATGAAGGCCATGTTGGTTCTGGGAGAATACCAACTCTCCAATCCTCAGCGGTGGTCAACCAAAGAAGGTTTTGCGGGTGAGGGACTCCATCCAGCGAGGAAGATAGCATGCAATAGCACCCCACTTTTTTGTGGCTGGGGGATTCCATCTAGCGGTGAAGATAATATGCAATAGCATCCTACTTTTTTGGGGCTGGGGAACTCCATCCAATGGTGAAGATAACATGCAATAGCATCCCACTTTTTTATGGCTGGAGGACTCCATCTAGCGGTGAAGATAACATGTAATAGCATCTTTTTTGTGGTTGAGGGACACCAACTAGCGGGGAAGATAACATGCAAAAGCATCCCACTTTTTGTGGCTGGGAGAATCCATTTAGCAGGGAAAATAACATGCAATAGCATCCCACTTTTTTGTGGCTGAGGAACTCCCTCTAGTGGGGAAGATAATATGCAATAGTGTTGTGTATGCTGACCACCACTGGGGGGCCAGCGAACACCCCGAGCTTGAAGCAGTAATAACAATGGGGACTAGGATCCTAGTCCCTCCACTGGGGGAACCAATGGGACCGTGGCGGGAGATTCAAACCCGCCAATAGGACCCAGGGGTGTGCCCCTGGTTGTGTATCTAGTTGGCCTGCCGGCCGTTTGTTCCCTGTTCTTGTTGTGTACCTAATAAAGCGTGCTATGCACTACGTCGTTGCCTGTCGTCTATCCATGCGGCTACCCACTACATAACAAATAGCATCCAACTTTTTGTGGCTGGGGAACTCCATCTAGCGAGGAAAATGATGTGCAATAGAATCCTACTGATTGAAGCAGGGCTTAATCTCCTTTTCCATAAGTTGAGTCAGGGGAAGAGATTCAGGATATATCTGCTCTCAACAGCAGGGCTCGCGAAGCGTCAGAGAAAGCCCCCATGTGCCAAAATCCTACAAGCAACACTTATCGATTTTCTGATAAGCAGAAAATGCCCCCGATGTGGCAATATCTGACAGGCAGCCGCCTGTGATGCTACACAGGTGTCTCCAAGTTTTGCCGATGCCCTGCGTGAGTCACAATTCCCCTCTGCGTCAAGCTGTAAACAGAACAGTGTAGCCATAGCACACTGAATGATCCATTACATAGCTCATGACAATGCTATTTTCACATTTTCATTTAAAAAGTCTACGGCTGCTCTATTTCCTCCACTTTACCGCTAAATCTAAGCCACAGGTAATCTGTGGAGATCACAACGCTGTACCCTCCAGAAGTGAGGTCACCCGAGGGTCTCCTAGGATGCTACTGTGCACCCCGTCAAAGAGGAAGCAGGTCTCTCCCTCTCTTTAAGATAATATCTGCACACCTGAGGCAGAGAAGAGAGAAGAGAAGAGATTGGACTTATACCCCGCCCTTCACTTGGAGTCTCAGAGCGGCTTACAACCTCCTTTCCCTTCCCCTCCCCACAACAGACACCCTGTGAGGTAGGCGGGGCTGAGAGAGCTCTGACACAAACTGCTCTTTTTCAAGAACAGCTGTGCCAGAGCTTGTGACTGACCCAAGGTCACATCAGCAGGTGCAAGTGGAGGAGTGGGGAATCAAACCCGGTTCTCCCAGATTAGAGTCCACACACTTAACCACTACACCAAACTGTACCCGATGGCAGGGGCTCTGGGATCCTGTATCCCTCGTTGGCTTCTGCTTGGACTGGCCCTGCCTTTCAAAAGCATCCCCCAGCCACAAAACCCTCTTCCATTGACTGCCGGACCACATGGTCTGCAGCAAATCTGTATAACCGGCTCGGAGCGATAGCTGAGCCATCGGGTACAAAACGTGGAGTTTGTATTCCTTCTGGTGGCTCCACCCTCTCCCTGAGATAAATGGGAGGGAAGGAAAGACGATGCCTGCTTCCACCTGTAGGATTTTATTTCCATTTGCTTCCAAACTGGAGCGGGGCTAGAGGTAAGGTTAAGGTCAGGGTCGGGGTTAGGGTTATTTTTCAGAGCAGCCCTAAGACACTCTGCTCTGATAGTCTTCTTTCAAGGTGTTCTCCATCTTCAGCATGCTCTTTTCCCAAACCTGTTTTACTCTCATCTTTGAGTGAGCCAGTTTGGTGTAGTGGTTAAGTGTGCAAACTCCAATCTGGGAGAACCGGGTTTGATTCCCCACTCCTCCCCTTGCACCTGGCTGGATGACCTTGGGCAAATGATAGTTCTGATAAGAGCTGTCCTTGAAAAAGAGCAGTTTCTGTCAGAGCGCTCTCAGCCCCGCCTACCTCACAGGGTGTCTATTGTGGGGAGGGGAAGGGAAGGGAAAGGAGTTTGTAAGCCGCTCTGAGACACCTTTGGGTAGTGAAGGGCGGGGTATAAATCCAATCTCTTCTTCTTCTTCTGAGTGAAGGATGCTGCCCAAGGATGTCAGCAGTTGGCATTGCCCGTCCGGAAACGAGAGATACATTTGGCTTCTTGCCCGAAGATTTCAAAGGAGGCTCGGACCAACTTGCCCTCCTCCCCTCTCGTCTCAAACAATTCCCACCCCGGAAGAACCCACCACCCGCTTTGGGGGAGTTAAACAAATGGTCAATTGTACTCGCCTCCACCTTCTTATCAAGTTCCTGAGCCACAGCTGCCGAGGCCACGGCCACGGCCACCGAGGCCGAGACAGCCACTTTCCCTTGTTTGTCCTGCGGCTCGTCCTTCTTCTCCATCGGCAGGTGGATGAAGTCCGGGGCCGCTGCCGGCTGGACGCAGTCGGCAGGGAAGAAGCCAGACTTCCCGTAGATGGCCCCAAATTTCCAACCTATATTAGGAAGGCATTCCTTTAACTGCCTGAGGACTCCGCCTCGTATCATATTAGGATTAGGATCAGGCAGACGTGCTAGAGACCCCAACTCCGGGTTTATTCACACAAAACGTCTACTTCAGCAGCCTCGGGAGAGGCAGGCAATACTTATCAATGGCCCATTCTGCATCTAGCATTCTCTCCATTGTTTTACCAAACCCACAATGGAACAGAAAAAGAGGCAGCTCAAAACCACATTCAAATACCCCAGGCCAACGCCGTACTGACTGCAAAGTCACCCCTGAATGGTCATAAAGCAGCCATAAATCCATAAAACCAAGAGATCAAACAGAGTGAAAATGGCAGTTTGGACACGGGCACAAAATCCGACAACTGATCAAAGTGAAACTGGCATGCAACGTAGAGGGGAGTTTCTGTTCCGATGTGGGTTTGGTAAAACAGCGGCACAAATGGGGCCACCAACTGAAACAAAGGAGGACATTTTGGTCGAATCTGCATGTGTCTTTCCCACCGGTGTCCCAGCCTTCTGACTCCATCTTCAAAAAAGCCGTCTACATTTGCTTTCGTTTTCAAACCTCTACAGTGCTAGCATACTTTTGCATGTCTGCATATGTTTATCGCCCGCTCATGGCGGCTGCACTGTCATTGCGCCTCCGCACTGCTTTAAATGAATCTTCTCCAAACAACATTCAAACAAGCATAGAGAAAGGCGGCATCACAGCAGCACGAAACTGATTTAAAAATGCAAATGCAGATTCGACTTTTGTCAAGACTCGAACACACAAAAAGGCCCCCCCCCCCGTAGGACAATGTTGTTTACGCATCCCCACCAAGCCCTGCCCAAAGAAACAAATTGCAAGGAGAGCAGCCAGATAATTCTCCTTGTAGCATGAAGATTAAAAAATGGGTCCATAATGCTGCCGATAGAATCGCACAGGTCAAGTTTATGTGATGGTCTCAGCCCCCTTGAGCCGGTTCATACCGGTAAGGTGGGATACAAATTGAAAGCAAATAGATAAATAAATAAATAACAAGGGCACTGGCTTGATCTCATTTCCTTCAGCCTGACAGATATATTAGGAATTGACACTAAACGTCTTAGAGCTTTCCTAGTTTGCTCCTTCCCCTGCCTATCAGGTGTGCTCTCGGTAGCGAATTAGATCAGGCAGGAGAAGAATCGCACGCGGGGAGAAAGGGGGAATACAGTTGCAGGCGAGAGGGTGAGGTGCGAGAGATCACACCACAGCACGGCACGGCACACAGGAGCCACCCACCAAAATCCAGAGTCCCCTTCTTCACATCCTCAAGCAGCATCACTTTCTTGCGCACCACGCAGCCGTAATAGCGGTCTGTGGGGACGGGGATAGTCAACATGACGTCACGGGGGTGGGGAATCTTTATGGATCCCTGCCTGACACCCTGTAGGGTTCACTCGCTGGGCCACAGGGTGGGCAATTTGGGCGTCTGAAGGCTTGTAACCTTGGCTGCATCCATTTGGAAGTGAGAACAAAGCCGAGCATGTTGGGAACCAATGGTTTTTTGCTAACTGTTATGGTTGTGGGGCTCTACTGTGAGGGCCATTCCTCGTACGGAAGCTGGGTCAAGGGGCGAATGGACGGGGTGCTAGATTTCCAAGTGGTCTGCTGGTTGTGTGGAAATTTTGCTGCTAGGACATTTTGGGGGTGACAGCAGAAGCCCAAGGGGCCACAAGGGGCTCTTTTGGTAGCAGAAACTCTTTTGCATATTAGGTGACACACCCCTAATGTAGCCAATCCTCTGAGAGCGTTCAGAGCTCTTCTTACAGGGGTTGCCATGCTGCCATGGGGGTTGGGGAGCTCATTCTGTGTCTTGGTAATTGCTATTGCATTCCTATCTCTGCTGTTCTGCCTGTGCCACAACGCTTATCTCTACAGATGTGCAGGAGGAGGTTGTGTTGGAGATTGTATTGTCTGGAAGTCTCCTAGGTACTGTGAGAGACTACTGCTTCCCAGCTTTCGCCACCTAACGGTTTCCTAGCTGGTCCCGCGCGCGGGAGGGTAGCTAATTGGCCCATGCCATGGGGGGTGTGTGTGTGCATACGAATGTCCTATATCCTATTATGCTCAATGGGTTGCCGCCATTCTTAACAGTGCCTGTGTTACCGCATCGATAGCTTTGCAATAAACGTATAACCGTTCCTGAATGCGTGCACTTCGTTGTAAACTGTGGGTTCTGACATACTGTAAGCTCTCGGAGGATTGGCTACCTTAGGGGTGTGTCGCCTAATATGCAAAGGAGTTCCTGCTACAAAGACAACATGACCTTTTCCAGGGACAACAGAAGCAACCGTCTGGATATTTATCTGCTTCTCTTCGCCGCAGATACCAAGTTGGATCTGGCCAGCTTTCCTCCTTAATCTCAGCTAGTTTCCTATTTTAGTACCGCCCTCGTCCTACAAGACAAGCAGCCCAAATCTTTTGCTCTCTTCATCCTCAGCTGCCTTCCGGAATTTCTGCCCAGCAAACCGAGGAGTTGATACGGAGCATCCAGTTGGAGGTGGGTCCGTGTACAGGCTTTGGACCTCTCTACTATTGCTCAACCGTGCTGGCTCATGAGACTGCGCCCTTCCCTTCCTCTCGTGCCCCCACCCCACCCCTCCCCAAGGATGCCACTTCCCTCTGGGGGACGCACCTTTTCCCAAGCCTTCCATCGGCCGGAGGCAGATGATATCTCCTTTGTGGAAACTCAAGAGGGTCTTGTCATTGGTAACGTAGTTCTTGATAGCCACCACATACTGGGAATCCTGGGGTGGAGGAAAGAAAAGGTGAGCGGAAAGAGGGAATCATCATCATCATCATCATATGGCAGGGTGTGTAAAATTGCCAGGAGATCCTAAGTTTGTCTGGCAGCCAGAAGTTCTAGCTCTTTTAGCGTTATGCACCACTAGGGGGCGAGCTGGACTTGTTTTTTAAGGCAAGAGTTGTTTCAGAGGTGGCTTTCCGTGGTGGTCTCCCTTCTGGATACCAGCCAAGGCCGGTTCTGCTTAGCCTCTGAGATCTGATGAAATTGGGCTAGCCTGCGCCATCCAGGTCAGGCCAAGAGACGAGCAGAGGTGGCTTTGCCATTGCCTGCCTCTGTGTAGCAACCCTGGGCTTCCTTGGTGGCCTCTCATCCAAATACTAGCCAAGGCTGACCCTGCTTAGCTTCTGAGGACTGATGGGATCGGGCTAGCCTGGGCCATCCGGGTCAAGGCAAGAGATGAACAGAGGTGGTTTGCCACTGCCTGCCTCTGCGTAGCAACCCCACACATTTCTTGGTGGTCTCCCATCCAAATACTATCCAGGGCTGACCCAGCTTAGAAGAAGAAGAAGAAGAAGAGATTGGATTTATACCCCGCCCTTCACTACCCGAAGGAGTCTCAGAGGGGTTTATACTCTCCTTTCCCTTCCCCTCCCCACAACAGACCCCCTGCGAGATAGGTGGGGCTGAGAGAGCTCTCCCAAGAACTGCCCTTGAGAGAACAGCTCTGAAATAACTTATGACTGACCCAAGGTCACACCAGCAGCTGCATGTGGAGGCGTGGGGAAATCGAACCTGGTTCTCCCAGATTAGAGTCCGCGCTCTTAACCACTGCACCAAACATAGATCATCAATCATATTAGGGATTCCATCTAGTTGTACTAAGTATTCCATAATGGGAAACCAAATCGTAACAAAGTCGGATGAGGAAATTTGAGAATCGAGATAGGATAAGTTGTCATTTATTTTTGCCATAAGAAGAAGAAGAAGAGATTGGATTTATACCCCGCCCTTCACTACCCAAAGGTGTCTCAGAGCAGCTTACAAACTCCTTTCCCTTCCCCTCCCCACAACAGAACCCTTTGAGGTAGGTGGGGCTGAGAGCGCTCTTGACAGAAACTGCTCTTTTTCAAGAACCGCTCCGAACGCTCTTATCAGAACTACGGCTCGCCCAAGGTCATCCAGCCAGGTGCAAGTGGAGGAGTGGGGAATCAAACCCGGTTCTCCCAGATTAGAGTCCGCGCACTTAACCACGACACCAAACCGATACGGTATTGGTCCCATGATTTTTTACGCCATAGTAATAAATTTAGGATTAATTTACTTTTCCAGCGTGAGGCTATTGCAGTTTTAGACACAAATAAAAGAACTGAAATGGTGTCAGAAAGGGAAGAAGAGGAATCTCTAGGTTTCCAGCTGTTAACGGGTAAGTGATCTGGGGTAAGGGAAAGGTCAATTCCCGTTATACTTTTGATTTGTTTAAGTATCTTTTCCCCGAACAATGCAGCCAGCAATGAAGACGGTATCCAACTTTCCCACATTTTTTCCAGCATAGTGGACTCGCTGATTTGGATCCATGTGCCAACCTTTGTGGAGCAACATACCAGTAAGATAGTATCTCAAATGTCTGTAGCTTCACTCTTACCTTCTTGAGCTCGGTGATGAAGTAGTCCACCATGGCCTTCACCTGAGGAGCTTTGGGGGAAAAGAGCAGCAGCTTCTCGTGGGTGAGGTTGAACTCCAACATGTTCCTGGAGGGGATGGTCACGAAGAGGATATCGCTGTAGCTGAGCCAGAGGGAAGACGGGGGTTAACAGTCGGTTAACTGTCTCCTTTAGGCCCCAGGCCAAAATATTTCTCATCAGCCAGGCTTTTTACTAAGGGGACCCATCTTTTTAAAGCCAAAAACTGTTCCATCAGTACCATCAATATCAGTTTGTCAAGATCCCGTGTGGCTCCATCACATCAGACAGAGAATCCACGGGGAACATTGGTCAATGCCTAGGCTACCCCTGTTTACCAGGAAGGAAGACTAAGGGTTTCTGTCCCTCAAGAGTGCTATTAAGAAAAATAGGGGCCCCGTGTGGTGCAGTTTGTGTGTCAGAGTGGAATCTGGGAGCCCCAGGTTCAAATCCCCACCCTGCCATGCAAACTTTCTGGGTGACCTTAGTCTAGTCACTCTTTCACGGCCTAGCCTACCTCACAGGACTGTTGTGAGGATAGAATGGAGGAGAATGAGGTACGCCGTTTTTGGGCCCCCATCGGGGAGGAAGGCAGGCGATAAATCAGGCAAGTAATTTTTTTCTGTCCATACAGGTTACGTACTATACATTTTTGTAAATGAAGATTGTATTCTCTTTTTTCATGAGCCTGCCTTGATTCCATTCTGAGCCACACTTGGTCCTAGAGCAGGGGTAACCAACCTTTTTTGATCCTGTGGGTATCTTTGGGATTTTGGAACAGTGTAGTGGGTGCAGCCACAAAATGGCTGCATCGGAAGGCGGAGCCAGCTGCACAATGGCGGCTGCATCTTACTATGAGTTACACAGTGAAGATCCTTGTCCTGTGGTGGCAACTGCTGCCAAAGCAATCTATCTATCTATCTATCTATCTATCTATCTATCTATCTATCTATCTATCTATCTATCTATCTATCTATCTATCTACCTACCTACCTACCTACCTACCTATCCAGGGTTCTTTCTGTAGCAGGAACTCCTTTGCATATTAGGCAACACACCCCTAATGTAGCCAATCCTCCGACAGCTTACAGAGCTCTTCTTACAAGGGGCTACTGTAAGCTCTTGGAGGATTGGCTACATTAGGGGTGTGTTGCCTAATATGCAAAGGAGTTCCTGCTACAGAAAGAACCCTGGATAGGTAGGTAGGTAGGTAGGTAGGTAGGTAGGTAGGTAGGTAGATAGATAGATAGATCCATCCATCTATCCATCCATTTATCTATCATCCATCCATCTATCTATCATCCATCCATCTATCTATCTTCTATTTATCCATCTATCATCTATCCATCTATCCATCTATCCATCTATCCATCTATCCATCTATCCATCTATCCATCTATCCATCTATCCATCTATCCATCTATCCATCTATCCATCTATCCATCTATCCATCTATCCATCTATCCATCTATCCATCTATCCATCTATCCATCTATCCATCTATCCATCTATCCATCTATCCATCTATCCATCTATCCATCTATCCATCTATCCATCTATCCATCTATCCATCTATCCATCTATCCATCTATCCATCTATCCATCTATCCATCTATCCATCTATCCATCTATCCATCTATCCATCTATCCATCTATCCATCTATCCATCTATCCATCTATCCATCTATCCATCTATCCATCTATCCATCTATCCATCTATCCATCTATCCATCTATCCATCTATCCATCTATCCATCTATCCATCTATCCATCTATCCATCTATCCATCTATCCATCTATCCATCTATCCATCTATCCATCTATCCATCTATCCATCTATCCATCTATCCATCTATCCATCTATCCATCTATCCATCTATCATCTATCTATCATCTCTCTCTCTCATCCATCTATGTATGTATGTATCGATCGATCGATCGATCATCTATGTATGTATCTCTCATCCATCTATCATCTATCTATGTATCTATCTCTCATCCATCTATGTATGTATGTATCTACCTACCTACCATCTATCTATGTATCTATCTATCATCTACCATCTATCTATATATCTATCATCTATCATTTCTCTCTATCATCTATCTATGTATCTATCCATCTGTCATCCATCCATCCATCCATCCATCCATCCATCCATCCATCCATCCATCCATTTGTTTGGCTTTTAGCCCACCCTCCCCCACAAGCAGGCTCAGGGCTGGTTACAACAGCATTTATCTAACATAAAACCAACAATTAGAACATTTTAACGGTGAAATTCAATGTCCCAATTTAAATTCCATTCATAGGCTCGTATTTTAAAAAAATATGCAGTCCATCGAATCACCAGTGGCCAATAAGAAGCTTTGCTGAGCAAACATGCCCCCGCCCACTTTCTAAAACCACTTGACGGGCATCAGAAAAGATGTTGGTGGGTGCCCTTCTGCCCGTGGGCACCATGTTGGAGATCCCCGCCCTAGAGGCTGCAGCCCCGCCCCCTGTTCTAGAAGTGAGGGTTGTTCTCAGCACAAGCGCAGATTCCATGAGCATAAACGCAGAAGGCTCTTGGTATCTGTTAGCCTTGCGGGTTCCCCATTGTGATTCCTTATCCTTTCAACGTGGCCTCCCTTCCAGACTGTTGGGAGGGCTCTCTGCCAATGAGTACCCGGGTGTGAGCGATTCAAAGGGAATGCATGTGAGACAGCGACCTGAGGCTGCAGGGATGTCACCGGTTGGCAGCCGCTGCTCTCCTCACCCAACCTAGACTGTGGTCCTGCCGTATCCTTCTGAGAGTTCCCGGCCAACCCCCCCCCCTCCAACACAGCCTTACCCATAGCCCCGCAGCACCCGCAACTGCTCCCCAGGCAAGTTGGTGCCCTTGACGAGCCTCAGAAGTTTAATCCCTGTATGGGACACTGCCAAGATCTGCACTCCGGTGCCAACGCTGCCCTAAAGGGATTGAAATGGGACAGTTAACATGGAAGGGGATGTTGGAAGAGAAGGGCGAAATGCTGTCTCTTAGCCTCAGCCTCCAGAGGGGGGTTACAGGCAGGCCCGTAGCCAATGCTCCCTCTAAGCTGTGGAGTCTTGTGAGCCAAAATTCTACTTTGTGAGCTACTGGCATTAAAGTTGTGAGCCAGCGATTTGGCTGCTGCATAAATTTGTTTGCTCTGGAGCCATCCTTCCGGAGCTAAGACAAAAATGTGTGAGCCAGAGGCTAAAAAACTGTGAGCTAACTCACACTAACTCAGCTTAGAGGGAACACTGCCCATAGCTACAGTGGGACTTTCATGGGCTCTTTCAGGGACTTTCGGAGGCTTAACGGCACAGCCCCACAAGAATTTCTCCTGTAAATGCTTTTTTCAATCATTTTAAAACATTTTTTAGGGCATGCACTTGTTTAAGCAGAGTGGGTGCTGTAGTTGACTAATTCCTGCACTGAGCAAGGGGTTGGAGTAGGTGACCTCTAGGATCCCTTCTAATTCTGTGTCAAGAACCTGGTCTTCTTTAAGAGAGTTGTTCTGCCCAAGTTTTAGCTTCCTTGACTGTAGAAATCATCACCCCCACCTGCCGACTTGTTAGCAGACTTGTTGCTTAGACTGGCAGAAGTGATTAACTTGCAGCAGCTGAGAACTGTCATCTAAAGTGGTTGACAGGTCACAATTTAGAGGTCTGTCCTGGTAACAGCTTTCTATTGGCTAAATGGCTTTTCTTTCTGCACTGAGAACTTCAACCCCCCCAGAAAAAAATTTGCCCCATAAGCCACAAAATCCTGGCTACAGGCTTACAAAATCATGGCTTACAAAATCCAGGTATACTCTGAGCATCCTTCCTGTTTACTCTTCTGCCTCTGTCCCTTTGATGTGTAGACTGATAACTTTCAGGGAATTTATTCCTTCCTTCCATTCTCCCTTCTCTCACACACACACATAAAGAAGGAGCACATTTCTCCCTATCTTTGGCACCATGGATGTAGATGCATTCTGCATCTACATCCATACAGATAGTTAGATTAGATTCTATCCCTATCTCTCAACCTGTGCTATCTAGAATGTAGTTCCTTGAATAAAGGATTCTTATTAGTTTGAAACTGACAAGTGGCACTGTGTAACTCTGTAACTTTGCTAGCACATACAGAACAAAGAGCTTTTGTGCACTCTGCTAAATAAGATAGAGATTACTGGCTTGCTATACCAGTGACTCTAACAGGGTACAGCTCATAAATGGAAGGACGAGCAAACCTCAAGGAAGAGCTAAAGTTTGGACTGGCACATTAAGAAACCCGATCTTGAAAAAGACTCCAGATAATCAAAAGGAGGGAAATGTTTCCAGACGATGGTCTGCGTAATTTTCTAGCTCAGGGGTCCCCAACCATTTTGTGGCTGTGGCGACCTCTGGAATTTTGATAGGGCATGGTGAGCACCACCCCAAAATGGCTGCCACAGAAGGCAGAGACAAACCCAAAATGGCCGCCCCCAGAGGCAGAGCTAAAGGGCATACCTCCTTCCTCACATTTCCTAGGGAAAAGGAAGTCTTGAAGGGGGAAATGGAACTACACATTGACAAGAAAACCTAGTTTACAAGTCCTCCTTGTCCTCCTCCGGAGGAGAACTCTTTCATTCGAATGTGGGAAGCCAGTAACAAATTCTGCCTTACAATACCCCACCTGCATTCTGAAAAGTTTGGTGGGCACCAAGAGGTGTACTGGCGGGCGCCACGTTGGGGAGCCCTGTCCTAGCCACTAAACTTCTAACACTTCCCTCAAATCTTTTCACTCAGAGGTTTCCCCACAGTTTGGGTGCTGCACTGCAGAGCTTTCCCTCCGCCCAAACTTCCTCATGTCTTCGTTTTCTTTTTCCGTGGTTTCTTCGCCAACCCCCCCTCCCCACACGACCTTTGACCTGATCTGAGAAAGCACAGAAAAATGATGAGGGAATGACAGAAAGTCGACTGGAGGACGTGAGGAAGCTCGGAGAAAAACTGCAGCTTGGCGCGCACACTGTGGGGAAACCGTGGGAAAGACCCAATTCCTAACTGCAGAGCACCGGGGTCTCTTACCGTAGCTGGGAAAAGGCGGGAAAAATACACTTCCCACCCGTCCCGGGCGACGTTGACGATCTCCTTCTTGACGCTTTCGTCGGCCACCGGGCTGAAGGAATCGAGCTTGTTTTCGGCTGTGGGACAAAACAGAAGTCAGTCCCCTTGTTTAGGGTCGCCAACCCTCCAGATCGGGCCTGAAGATCATTACAACTCCTCTCCAGAATACAGGGCTCAGTTCCCCTGGAGAAAATGGCTGCCTTGGTGATTGGAATCTATGGCACTATGTCCCACTGGTGTCCCTCCATACCCCAAACTAGGGATGTGCATTCGGTTCATCCGAACCGAATGCACCCCAAAAAATGGCCCGAATTTTCCCCAAAAGTGTGGGGAAACCTTTCGGGCTACTGCGGGTCGATTCAGATTCTCTGATCTGAATCGGCTTGCCGCCGAATTTCTGTGTGGTTGCTGTGTGGCACTGTGGCATGCTTGCACTGCCACAGTGCCACTTGTTCTGGAGTGTGCCACTTGTCCTCATGGCAGACAAGCACCTCCCAAGACAGTTCACTTTCCCTGAGATTCTCTGGGAGAGTCTGTGTTGTGTCCACTGACCGCCACCGGAGGTCAGGGCATATACCCGAGCTTCAGTCTGGGAAGACAATGGGGACTAGGATTCTAGTCCCTCCACTGGGGAACCAATGGGAGCCATGGCGGGAGATTCAAACCCACCAATGGTGACCAAGGGGAGGTCCCCAGGTGTGTATATAGTTGGCCTGCCGGCCGTTTGTCTTTGTCTTGTTGTGTGCCTAATAAAGCGTGCTATGCACCACGTCGTTGTCTGTCGTCGATCCATGCGGCTCCCACTACACAATAGTGGCGACGAAGGTGGGATGTAGCCGCATCTGAGCCGGGCCGTCGCGAGGAACCAGGAGGACGCGAAGCAGCCGATACGATGAGCGAACCATCGAACAACTCAAAGCGTGCTATGCACCACGTCGTTGTCTGTCGTCGATCCATGCGGCTCCCACTACACAATAGTGGCGACGAAGGTGGGATGTAGCCGCATCTGAGCCGGGCCGTCGCGAGGAACCAGGAGGACGCGAAGCAGCCGATACGATGAGTGAACCATCGAACAACTCGACCGCTCCTCCCGCACCCCCTCCGACGCGCACAATGGCTACCGCTCCCGGGCTAGGGCTGCTACCGCCCTTCGAGTCCCTGGCCAGAAGGCTACTCTCCCCCACCAACCTTGGTGACTGCACTTTCGAGCAGATCGTCAAAGCGGTGCAAGGCCACTTCGCACCAAAACCCACCGAGCTGACTTGTAGGGTAACATTCTACACCCGCAATCAGCTGGCCAGAGAGACCGCCGGGGAGTTCCTCGC